TACTGCACTAGCACTAGTTGTGATGCTTGTAGACTGTAGCGAAATGACATCGTAGACTGTAGTCAAGCGCATATTAACAGCTTTTCTGTTGGCTCTATTTTCGCCACTCTTGTGTTTCTCAAGTGTCGAGGGGGTGCTATTCAAACAAACGCGCTGTCAACAAACACGGAGGAACAGCGTCTCTTGTCCAAATGCCTTGTTTCATCAAAACGTGAATCTGTCTGTTCTCGTGTTTGCCCGCCACACAGTTTGATTGAATAGCATCTTCAGTCTCCCTTGTGTCATCGCTAGAGCTGAATTCCCCCGATTCAGCCGTCATCATATGATCATTCTGTATCATATCTCAGGTTTAATATGCAGGAATGTTAATGTGTGTCCGTGTGCCTGTACTCCGTTAGCATGACTCGGTGTTGTGTTGTTGTGTCCGTTTGCTGACCCGTTTACTGACGATGTTTCCTCTTTTTGCCATCCACCTTTTTTCTTCTTCTCTCGCTTTGTGCCCCCCCCCCCCCCCCCCCCCCCCCCCCCCCCCGCGCTGCCTCCTTGTCCCCCCACCCCACTCCCGTCTTGCTTCTTTTTGCACCTGCCTTCTCAGGTGTAAACAGGTGCACGCCCCCCTCATACCCGCCCCCGCAGGACCCCCTCAGCGCGGGGCAGTATGAGGTATCGGAGGACATGGCACAAGGAGAGGTTTTTGAATTCAGTCAATCCAAAAGAGGCCAGGCTCCTTTCTGGCAGAATTTTAGTAGATTAGCTCCATTTAGGAAATAGAGATACGCGGACTCTTCTGAAGGACCAGATATTTTTCTTAGACGCACTAAACACTGGATGATCCTGACCCATCATGAAGAAAAATACGACAAAAAACACACACAAGAGACTTTTGAAAAATGAAGGACTATTGTGAATATGATCAGCAAGAGGACTGAAGACTTTGGATTTAAACATTTAAAAACGTTACGATTCATATATGTTAGCAACGTTATAAGTTATCACGCTTCTCCGGCTGAACTCTTTCCCCCTCGGATTCTGCATCCTCACGCCATCTGAATGTCCTGGAGTTATTTACATTGTTATATTAATTCATTTTGAATCCATCGTCTGGAGAGAGAAGGCCGAGCCGGGACAGTTCCTCGTAGTAAGATCGTGATAGAACAAGCTGACATGTTGCTGCTATGTGAGATTGCTTGTTTGCATTCTTCTGAATGTGAGGTTGAATAATTGACAGCTGACGAAGGACCCGCGGAAGCTCGGCGTCATCTCTGATCCATGCTGCCACTGATCTCAGAGCAGCCATGCCATCACTGTGTCTGCCCCCCCTCCTTTACTCCCCTCTCTAGCTGTCCGCATTATAGTATCCCTCTCTTCACCCAGTATGGCGTTCTCAGTGTTTCCCTCCCTCTCTCCTCTCTATCTCCCGCCCCCCCCCGCTCCATCCTCAGTGAGTCACGGGCTCTCAGAGGAAACAGCTTCATCCTCTTGGCAGGCTGCCATCGGCCACGATACGACGGGTCAGGGAACAAATCGATAGTTGGGAACATCAATAGAATATTTTCATCCTTTCACCAAACACTTCTGACAGGGTATTCATAACCCATCACACCCAGGGGGGGGGGGGGGGTTGACGAGAGATGAAACAGCTGGGCGCGGGAGATAGGCAGACTATACGCTCCACCTGCCTTGTGTTTAAACCCCCCCCCCCCGACACTCTCCCCCCAGAGACCACCCCTTGTAGCACTGTGCTGGCAGCTCACTGGGCGTTTGGAAAGAGTACAGCCTACCTCCTGAATCAGCTTAAAGTGAAAGCAGTGGGCGATGTTTAGAGAAGAGACTCCTTCCGTTCATTCTTTTCTATCTCTCACATTGTAAAAAGCACATATCCAGTCAGAGGAACACTGTATTTCCTCTCGTGTGAGGACGCTAAATGGGCCCCAGTGTGACGAATTAGAACGATCCCTTAACCAGCACAAGGGGAAATGGTCACGTAATAAATTCTAAATGAACAACTGAAAGAAAGGACGCTGCAGAAAAGTGAATTCAATGTGTAGCATGCAGACGTCCTCTGACAAATTTCTCTCTAAAGACCGCAGCTTCAAAGTCTCAGCTCCCACACCGTCGTCTTTCCCGATCTGATCAATGTTCTGGCATTCATCTTAAGTGATCAGATTATTGGTTTGATCAAACAATGCTGTGGATCCCGCCACATGAGGTTTTAGAATAGATCTACTGAGGAAACAACTATTTACACACATCATGAAGGTATATTCTTTTCTACAGTGGGGAATGTAAGTGACACACGGTTGGTGATCATGCTTTAAACCTCAGATACTTTGTGTTGAATTATTACCACCTGATGGACAGTACATATATGACAACTTGTGCAATGTGATATATCATTATATATCTTCACTACTCACTACCACGTGATATCAAAGAGTTTATATATCGTTCTATGTCATTCGTTTGCCTTCTTATAGGCCTTATAACCTACTGGAGAAGAAAAAAAAAGACCTTTTTAGAATTGCTTTGTATGTTGTGTAATTTATGTTTTGTTTCAGTAAAAGGAAAGCGTTGAGAAACGGGTGAGTCGGCTGCTGGTGTTTGTAGAGAGATGGCTCCCGGTGAGATTGTTTTGGAAGATTATTCCCTGGTCTGGCACTGCAAAAAAAAAAATATATGGTTCCCAGGCCATGATAACCTCAGGTCCCGTGCTACGCCCCCCCCCCCCCCCCCCCCCCTACTTCACGCCACCAACACACACATACTCATGCACACTTGCTGGCCCGTTCTGCTGCGGAGAAGAGAGATGCTATCTAACAGTGCCTTCCAGCATTCCACTAGTGATTATCTATTCAGTTTCACAGGCAGATTTGAATTAGTCATGTATTTTCCCTTCGGTGTGGGACTCGCATCTCTCTCTCGTACTTTCTCTCTCACACACACCGGGAATTCCTCTTTCCCCAGAAACTTAAGAGGTCAGGCCTTTTTTTTTCTTCATTTCCCCCATATGAGTAGATACTGTGCCGTCTGACTGACTGAAACACACCTTATTATATTATATCACACGTATATAGCGGTAATTTTATTGCACAGAAATAATTTAGAAACGTTATCATCTATTTAACATGCTGAACGGTGGTTTCATTTCAAATATATTATAGTCTATTAGTTTTCAAAGTATATTATTAAAAATCAAAAGAAGAATCATCTATTTTACCTTTATCAGCTTACACACTGTAAATAATGTAAAAAAACAGATCATATATTTGGATATTGGTATTTTGCGTTGGAGACGAATGTTGTTCCAGTTCTAACGTGCGGTAGACCTCAGTACCAGGTAAATGCATGCTCGTGGCATCCGATATTTTGCATGAGACTTTAGACAACTCTTAGCAGATTGTTTAGTTTCATTTTACTTCCAATGGGGGATTTTCTTTTGTTTACCACACACCGCGGAACCATTCATTTGTGAAGCCCATACCATCTCACTGAAGGGAGTTATTTTCTCTGTCCACCTGTCTCCAGCTCACATCACCGCTTTGTAGCTTCTGGTTTTTATTTATTAAGTAGAGTGGGACATCTTTCCTGAACTGTTGATAGGTGAAATGAAAGGCACTAATGCTCTCTTCGCCCAGATATATTGGGTACTATAAACTGTCATTCTAAAGTTATATCTTTGACTCCAACATGCACTGTCGTAGTCCAAACTGCTGTTTTTCATTTGTTTTGATTTTGATTTGAATACCATTAACCGCTGAGGTAAAACGGGTATCATTTTTCTATGACAACGGTGAACAAAATAGGAGTTAGCACTGATCATGGGTGTTTGTGTATAGATTTGTAGTCAAGCAGAAGAGCTGAATAAATGAAAACCTCTCGAGATGAGCTAAAAATAAACATAATCCTGTAGACACACACACACACACAGAGACACACACACACACACAGAGAGACACACACACACACAGAGACACACACACACACAGAGAGACACACACACACACAGAGAGACACACACACACACACAGAGACACACACACACATACACACACACACACACACACATATACAGTACTTCATTACAATTCATATCATGCTCTGGTTTCTACTTAAGAAATTATTCTTTTGACTTGACAATAACAAATTAAATTCTTCACTTGTATTTATTGAATGCAGTATTAAATAGAACCGTTTTGGCCATGCCGTTAAAAGGGTGTATATATTGGTTTTATTTCTCTTATATAATTATCATCTGACCTTGTGCTGAGAGCTGAGAGGACAGCCTTTTTTTTCCTATCTATTTCCGGTCATAAAACCGAGACAGCCAATTTAGCAGACTGTCAATTTGATGCATCAGAGGTTTGCTCAGATTTATGTCATTCCTTTCAGCCCATGAGGCGCGTTCACTCACATTTAGCATATCAGTAGGAACTCCTCGCGGTTGGTTATGCAGTCCTGTGTTGTTTCACAATAGTCAGGTTACAACAGTCTTCAATGAGCCATATTATTGATGTGGTGTTCAATGACAACAAGGTTAAACCGAAGACTGACATCCCACTTTTGGAAATCTCCTCATTGTAAATGACCATCTAGTTTGAGGTCTGGATTTTTGCCTATCACAGAAAAATGTACTCACTACCCACATCCTTCGTCACCATATGCAAACATTTGTCATTTTCTTTCTCGCTGGCCTTTTGAGTTTTGATTATTTGTTGTAGAAATGAAAAATAATGCCTATTCAATCCAGAAACTGTGAATGGGAGAGTGGAGATGTCAACTGTATGTACATTATATGTTTTGATGTAATCAGAAGCACTGGGAATATGTTGTACTTCGCTGTAAAAATAAATCCATATCTGATATAGCTGTACTTTTGTTGAAAATAAAACCTCTACAGAACTCCATGTCTAGGCGTCAATGTGCGAGTGGGTGCATTGTGCTGGGTTTCCTGTAGTGACATCATTTCCTGTCCCCATTACCAACAGCTGACACATAAACTCCTGGATTTATTTATTCCAAAAAAGGGATACAAACGGAAGATAAAAACTTTCTCAGAAGAATATTACAAAGTCACAAAAGAGAAACAAATCACAAATTGAAGCCTGAAAATGCTGTCACCAATGAATAAACATATTCATATTCTCCCGGTTGGCTGCGCTGATCGCTCCGTTTCCATATGTTTTGAAGTCAGCAGATGCAAGAGTGTTTTTCAGGCAAGATCTAAGACGTCCTGCTGCGATGCAGACACTGTCTCTGTGTGTTTGTGTGTCTTGATGTCTAAATAACTCAAGCGAGACTGTACAGTATGGGAACAAGAACAAATCATATGAGGAGCCTCAATGAGCAGTATTACTGTGGTCTCTAGTGGTCAACCGTGGTGTTACACTTCCCAAGGACATGGCCTCCAACATGGAGCCCTTTGGCATGGTCATTTCTTTCACTTCAATGAGATTTGTAGAGCACAACTATATATTAAAACGTAGCTTACGTAGCTTCAAAATATATAATAAAAACAAGGATTTACAGAACTGGGATGATATATCTTCTGTGAGTATAATGTCCTACAAATAAGATAACTAGAAATCAGTCATCCAGTCATGAGTTTAAAACAGGTAAAAAAAACTGGCCATGTATCGTGATGCTAAGTTGAGCATCATAGGAGTTCAGATGTGATGTGCTTCAGGTAGTTCCTCAGGATCAGAGGAACGTCCAAATTGTCAATGGCACATTCCTTGTTGCCAAAGGGAAGGTATCCTCTTATCGCTAGCCGAGTCTGCGACATCAGTGTTTTGGGACAAACTGGAACAGAAACAGAAAAAAGGTGGATCAACATCTTGACACTTGTACAATGCACAGAACCAAACTGGAACTACTTTCTCACCTCTCTCTTTGAGAAGCAGATTCAGAGCCTCATTCTGCTTGGTAGTCTTGTCAATGATGAGCGTGGGCAGATACACGTCGGCCCCAAAGTCTATGAGCAGCTGGATGTACTCCCCCCCGCAGCCGTAGCGCAGACACACCTCCAGCACCGTCTTCGGCTGCTTTATCCTGGCCAGCATCTTCTCGTCCGTGCAGTTGTAGTTGGGGTTGGCCCCGTGGAGAAGGAGCAGTTTGAAGCAGTCCAGGTGTCCGTAAACAGCGCAGATATAAAGGGGCCCCCTGCAGGTGGTGGCGTTGGAGGCCCATTCAGGGGCTTTGGGCTTGACGTCCACCTCGGCTCCGAAGCGCAGCAGCTCCCGGAGCACGTCCAGGTCGCCCTCCCGGGCCGCGGTCAGGGCCGGGGTGCAGTTGTTGTACTGGCTGCCGTTGGGATCGGCCCCGGCCTTCAGCAGGGCCACCACACAGTCCAGATGTTTCCCATTGACAGCTGTGAACAGAGGCGTCTGCGCCTTCACGTCCAGGCTGTCGATCTGGATTCAGACACAGCAGTACATCAATATATTGTAACAGTACAAACACATGCCTGACACATTGAGACACTATGCATCATTAAGGTTGCATCTCTGTTTGTTTTTTTGTGGATGTGAACATAACATTGACTAATTATCACTTCTCAAGATCGTCAAGGCGTATTATTTACACTACCTGAATACACTGAGATTAATTAGCATTTATTTTTTCACCTAATGACTAGAATCCAGTATTGAATCTCCTTTTTAACTCTATTTTGGTTTAGCTTAGAGCTTCACAACTTCCTGAATATCACCCATTTCAATGCTATCATTCCATTAGATGTTATCAGTTTTTATAACTACCCCTCTAATTCATTAGAAGGGGCAAACTCCCCCCACCAGGAGACAAGAAGGTGCATTTCTGAGTTTTCTCAGGATCCACTTTTAGTTAGGTTGGCTTTAGTTGCTTTAAAACAAGTTTTCTTAAATGATGTATGTGATATCAGATTGCTTACATTGTCCCTGTGACATACTCATAGCTACTGCAATGCCACATTTCCAAATCCCAATAGTCTGAGAAATGTCCCATTGTTCCTAAGGCCCATTGCTCAAAAATTACACACTCTTCGCAACAAACCAAAACCCCATTCTAACAATTATCCAAAAGAAGTACTTGTACTGGAGTAAAAGTAAAGTTCCAGAGTATAGCAATACTCTGTTACAGTAAAAGTCCTGCATTCAAAATGTTACTGAAGTAAAAGTAGACCAAATATAGTTAAAGTACCAAAAGTAAAAGTACTCATTGTGCAGATTGGTCCATTTCAGAGGAATATATATGATATGTTTTGATTATAATTATTGATGCATTCTCAAAGCTGGTAAAGGTGCAGCTAGTTTTAATGGCTTTGTATACTGCAGGGTAGCTTGTGCATTTACTCCAGGTGTAACTCAAGTCTGATTTAAGTGTTGATTATATTTCTCACCATTAATTCAAATCTGCAAAGTAACTAAAGGTATTAAATGAATATAGTGGAGTTAAAGTACAAGATTTACCTCTGAATTGTAGTGTAGCATCAAATGGAGTATCTAAAAATTGTACTTAAGTAGTACTTGGGTATAAATGTACTTGGTTACTTCCAACATCTGCAATTATCTATCCTAAACCTAATCGACCTAACCAACACCACTCATGATTTGAGAGTGTATTTTGGGAGAAACAGGCTTTCAGAAGTAAAATCAGCAGACCCCCTTTAACCCATATCTGCTGATAACCCCTGATACCGGCTATTTAATGGCATGATATCATCTCAAGAGGGTACAACTGATTACTTACATTTAACGTCTCCTGCTGGGGACTGGTCAGGCAGTATATAGTGGGGTTATTTTAGCTTCTGAGTACAATAATGCTGAGGTATGGAACACAACGCTAGAGGGTTCGGTAGGACTTAGATAAACTGCAGAGCTCCTTTCATATTATGCGTTTGATCCATTGTTCTATTAAAATATAATATGTCAATGCCTTTAGGTTAAAACATCTAGTTTCTAACTCATCATTTTTTATAGGTGAAAAAGATCTGCCGGCGGTATCTAGGAACATTATTAGGCTTTTAAATGAAATGTGTGATGACTGAGTGCAGAGTATAATTTGGGTTATTAATCAGGATCTTTATGAACATTACACCCACCAGCAGCACCCACTCTCAAAGATCCATCTCACCATCCTCCAAACAACAGAATGCTCCCCCTCACCTCGGCACCGTGCTCCAGCAGCAGCTCCAAGCACCTCAGGTGTCCCAGAGCAGCAGCAGTACGCAGGGGGGTGACCGGGACCCCCCACCCACTCCGAGCATTGATAGACTTCCTGTAGGACTCCTGAGACAGGAGCTGGGAGAGCAGCGGCCCGTCGTCGCTGCTCACGGCGTTGTGCAGGGCCTGACACTGCTCGTTGTCTTCATCCTCCTCCTTAGGCTGCAGCAGGGAGAAGATCTTGGAAATGTCCATCAAACTCATGTTGACAGCTTGGCCCAGAACCATAACGTTACCCCGAGGCCGGTGCAAGTCAGAGCCCTTCCATCTGCACTGGCAGAAATGTCACAGGAAGATGGTAATACACCCGAAAACACACACAGCTTTTGACATTTAGAGTTATTTTTGTTGGACTTGATTTTCATTCCAATATATAATACATTTCGACATCTGTCTTTCATGAACACACAATATAAGACAGTGCAGTTTGTTTACATGACAAAGCTACTTCATATAACTCAAATGACAGTAATACAATCTAAATCAAGGCCATACATGAATGCATTTTAGACAAAAATATAATAATTGAATAGTTAGAGAGGCGAAGTCCCTCCCTTTCCGGGGGACCTCCATGGGACCTTATTTCGGAAAAAGTATGCATTGAAGTCAATGGAGAGAGAAAGATTATCTTTCGATCCCGTTTGAATTGAGCCACGAATTACACATATGATGTTTGTCAATTTAAAAGATAATTTTGCAAGTCAAAAAAATTCAAATGTGTCGTAAAACTGTGAAGTAACACTTTTTTTGTGTGAAACCGCTCAATGAACTACATCTCCCGTCTCGCACCACACACCAAGACGGCCGTCACGTTGGCACATTTCACTTCTTTCTCTCAGAATGAGGCGAAAAGTATTAAAAGAGGTGAAAATCACTACAAGTCTGGGCATGTTGAGAGCTGTGCATACACACAAGGGGAGTTAGTCGGTTCCGTAAGAGCCAGCATGGGGGACCGGGATTCTGGGATTTGTAGTCTTTCTAGTTGCTTATTTTTCATAGTCTTATATTTCAACAGTTTTACGACAAACTGTGACTTTTTTGACATGGAAATTATTATTTAAGATTGACAAACATCATATGTGTAATTCGTGGCACAATTCAAACGGGATCGAAAGATAATCTTTCTCTCCCCATTGACTTCAATACATATTTTTTCCGAAATAAGGTCCCATGAGTCGGAAGTAGAAGGGCGGGACTTCGCCTCTCTATAGTTCGCCACTAAGGTCGACAAGATGTGTTTAGTAGAACAAAGTAACAGAGTGTCAACAGTAGCAACGAGACACTTACCTCGATTAGTTTCTTGCTGATGTTGTTTCCAACGACGTGAGAAAAATTGAGAATCTAAAGACTTTCAGAACTTCCAAATAAGTCACGTGGACAAGAGAAGGGAAGAAAGGTCCTCTGAGGAGTGTGTGATGCTTCCACAGGAGCTGTGAAAAGTGCAGTTTGGCGTGTGTGTGTGTGTGTGTGTGTGTGTGTGTGTGTGTGTGTGTGTGTGTGTGTGTGTGTGTGTGTGTGTGTGTGTGTGTGTTGTGTGTGTGTGTGTGTGTGTGTGTGTGTGTGTGTGTGTGTGTGTGTGTGTGTGTGTGTGTGTGTGTGTGTGTGTGTGTGTGTGTGTGTGTGTGTGTGTGTGTGTGTGTGTGTGTGTGTGTGTGTGTGTGTGTGTTAACTGACAGAGGGGACCACAGCTCCTTTCCGGGGGGTGGGGGGCTAATTTTAGGCCACAGATGGGGCCTGGCCAAACTTCCATTCTTGGAGAGTCCCTGCTCAGGTTTATAATTAGAAACAGGAGTGACACTCAGACAGTGATTGGGGAGTGTGTCCTGAGTAAAAACAAAAAATGAAATGGAGACGTATGTGTCTACAGTGCATGGAGAAGCCTAATTCTCCATATATATTAAAGACACAACAGCCCAGAAATGCATTGTTGGGTTTATCAGTGTAAGGATAAGCCTAATAACCAATACTACAGGTCAATAGTTTGCCAGTATGTGCCCTGTTATCACCCTGCTCCCCTGATTCACACCAAAGCAGCCATTTTCAGTGTCAGCTATGTGACTTCCGAGGAGCAGCCAGTCAGCTGTTGCCCTGCCAAACCCCCCCTCCATGTCTTTATAATGTCCCATGTTTAGAGGAGAGAGACACCACATTCTTTCAGCAGTTGGCACAAGAGTCCAGATTCCTATCATTGTATAAATACACAAGGACAATTTATTTTTATATTTGAAGACTAAGCAAAGAACAATTGCTTTTAATGCCCACTTCATGAATTCTGACACAAGGAGCCATGGCAACACAATAAGAATGTCACGTATGATTCAATCATGCCCTGTTCTGTAAAGGGCCATTTAAATTGCATCACAAATAAAAAATACTACAATGAAACTGCATCTTTGACCTCTTGTATAATAATAATCCCACATTCTTTTTTTACATATTTCAGAATATATTATCATTCAAGGCAGCACTGACTGTGAAATGTATCACATCAGTTTTAATGTGTTATCCAACACATCACATTGTTTAAAAAAGGTGAGGATGTAAAAAAGGAGAACGCACTTTTTTGTTGTGCACTTTTTTGTGCAACTTTTATGTCGTCACTAATACATAGTCAAATAAACTTTGACTATGTATTCAAAGTCAATTTTATTGTCAATTTCTCAATTGACAATAAAGTTGACTTTGATTCAAACAGGAGATCGAAATACTGTTTCTCCCCATCCCAAAGAATACAAATATATAAATATATATGTATATATATGTATATGTATATGGGGCATTCTACCGAATTAGTACAAAGTGCGGTCCCACAACAAGAAAAACTATTTAACAAAACAATTAAGTATTCAGACATAGATATTTACTAAGAATATGTTATGGTCTATTTAAACACAAGCCATTAAATTAGATAGTGATAAGCTTAATATATACAAAAACATAATTTATAGGGTACTTTCTATTGGGAAGTAGCTGTCCCCAACCCTGACATCTAAATTTCAATTTCTGTAAATAACACTTAAAGGTAGGGTAGGTAAATTTGAGAAACCGGCTCGAGATACACTTTTTGTTATATTCCATGGAATGCTCTTAACATCCCGATGGCAATGAATATCTTAAGTGCTTTGACAAAAAATCCATAAAAAAATGTCATCTGTGGAAGCCGTAGTACTGTAAAAAGTACGACCAATCATTTTAGCCGGCCCGGCTAAAATAACTGGATGGCCTACCTGCCTGTCAGCCTTCCATCTGTGCACAAACTTATCTCGTGCCCTCATTGGTCATGTGCGCGTTCGTGTGTGTTGGAGGAGGGGCTCTATAAGGAAGTGGCAGATTTTCTCCGGTTGTGTATTTTCAAATTCTAGCGATCTCGAGCCGGTTTCTCAAACTTACCTACCCTACCTTTAACACATTTTTTATTTTGTTCAATGGTGTATTTCGAAGATCTTTATGATTACATTCAAACAGAAGTTGGAATATTTAGATTTATTGTGGGTATCATTTTTTAATTAAAAAAACTATACTCAAAAATCATGTCCCCAGTTTTCATGTCACTACCGAAACACAAGGGGTTTTAGTCCAATGGCTGAGCCTAGTTTTTAGCCACACCCCTGCATTTTTGACTAGGCAGTGACACTGCATCCCTGTCCCTCATGGCTGAATGGCAAGTAGCTATATTCCATACTTTTGATATAAATCTGTTCCAAAATCTTAAAATCGGCGTGTAATCTTAAGAATTGTCACTACCGAACACATATTATCTTCAATTAAGTAAACCTTTTCATGGTTTTAAGTAAAGTATTAGGTTTTTATGTGTGTAAACCTCTTCAAAAATGAGTATGCTAGCCATGTACTTGCTAGCATTCTTTAGTTATGCTCAATTTTAGCTAGAATTGTCACTACCGAAACAGTCACTACCGAAACATATGGTTATATCTCTCACAGGCTCCACCCTCTACTGGACTCTATAGGTGCGTTCACACCGGAGTACTTTGGTGTACTTTTCCCACAATAATTCATCAGAACTACGATATATTTGCGTTCACACCAAAAAGCCCCAGGAACTAAAGTAGCTCAATTTAGTTCGTCCGACCCGCTTTTCAGTCCCTGCTAGAGAGCAGGGACTGTCGTGGGAGAAAGTAGTTCGTACGTCTGATTGGCTGTGCGGAATGCAAACCACGCCCGTTTGACTCTGAATTTTTTGTTGAAAGCGGCCATTGTATTTGCTCGCTTCGGGCAGCGCACCCGAAGACATTCCTTTTGTGAAAGCAGTTATTATAGCAACACTAAATAAATCAATTGGAGCGGTGGAGTGATGAGGATGTGTCTGCGCTTCTGGCGATTTACTCGGAGGACGCATTCAGAAGCTTCTACTGAATGCAGTTTCCGTGGCTCGATCAGCAAAGTTAGCAGACCTGGCAAAGTAATGTCGGGACGGCTACGAAGGTAAATTAAAATACATGCACTGCACTGTTTTAATCTGTTTTAATCTGCACAATACTGGTCTTAGATGTACTTTTATTTGCTCAGTAGATCGAGCTAGCCATGCTAGAACTTGCTAACGTTAGGTCCAAGCTGGCTAACAACATCTAGCTAGCTAGCTATTCTCATCCATGCCCGCTATGAACACGTTTTGACTTGTGAATAAGTGTGCAATGTTCTGTAATTTGCTTCACTAACTCATGGCACTAATCGTGTGTTTCAGGCGAGGTGTTTCTCTCAGGATTAGAAACTAGTTTTCCCCTCCGGGATAAAACGATAATATAACGTTAGCAATTAGCATGCTAGCTGGACATAACACTGTGGCTACACTGAATGCATAGAGGTAAACAATAGATTGTAGTTGCTATAATTTAAAGTAATTTGCAACATTCATTCTACATGTTAATGGTAAAAGCTTAAACAGTTGATTACCTGCATGCCACAAAGACTGATGTTCTAATATGTTTGCACATTTAAGTAGAAATGTAATTGAAATTCTATTTACTGCCTAAACATTGTTCCTTGTCATAGTATTATCCTAAATAGTTTGACCTTGTTTCCTCAGAAGGCTTCTCAGACTACATGGAGGATCCCTCAGAGAAACACAGTTTCCACGTTCAGTTCCCCCCCGCTGAGAGTAGGCAGCTCCACACCCTGCGCCCGGTCAGCGGACACCATCAGGACTACTATCTGATCACAGAGGATCCCATCCTGACCGCTGCTGCCATACTGCAGCAAACAGGAGGGAA